GGGGGGGGAAAGAAACTCTCCTTCTCTCCCTGTGTCTCCCTGGGATCTTCTAGCTGGGCTGGGTTGGGGAGAAACTCAGGCGCCTCACACCAACCCTTCCCCTTCCCCACACACCAATTCAAGATGGAATTAGTGCTCTTTTCCTTTAACAATATAAATAAAAGGTCCCCCAGTCTCCCCCTCTCTCTTCATCATCAGCTGCTGCTACTGCTGCTGCTGCTGAGGCTCTAGCTCTGGCTGGGAGAAAGATGGGAGGCTGCTACTGCGCGTGCGCCCCAAGGGGGCTCGGTGGGTTGAAGGGGGGGGTGGAAAGAGGTTGCTCTCCACAATGCACCGCGCGGCTGGAGAACCCGGAAGGAGATGCCGTTGAAGGAAAGGAAGTTGCGGAGTGGGTGTGGGAGGGGGAGGGAGAAGTGGAGCGGAAGTGAGTGAGTGGGCGTGAAGGGGGCAGAGTTGAGGCGAGTCAAGAGTGGCGGGGGGAGAAGGGGCGGTGCTATAGTCGCCACGTGACAGCGAGCGATGTGCGCGGGGGGTGCCGGGAATGTTTCTGGGGCACTAGCGGGCGAGGAGGGAGGTTGCGCTACTAGAGATCGAAGCGCTCGCGCAGGCGGGCGATAGCGAGTGAGCGGAGCCGGCCTAGGTAGGGCATCCGAGGGCCAGGCGCGCGAACCGGCAAGGAGACGGCGGGCAGTGACAGGACGTGGCGGAGGAGGGCGGGCGGGCGAGCGAGCGAGAACCCTGACCCGGTGCGGACGAAGGGCGGCGGGGTCCCGGGGGTGTTCCCCTCCTGCCGCCTTGTGTTCCCGGGCCCCGTGGGGGGCTCTGTCCCGGTCTCAGGTCGTTGGGCCTGGCTGTTGTGCGGCGGAAGGGCTGCGTCCCGGTGCTCTGCCCCGAGGGGACTTGGGGGGGGCCTTCGGCAGCGCGAGGCGGGGGATGATGCTCATGGCGACGCGGCGGTGAGGGCTAGGGAGCATCGCGCGCCAGCGAGGCCTCGTGAGACTCCTGCCTCAGGAATCGCTTCCTGCCCAGTGAGCCCGGCACTGATCCGGGTGGCCGTGCTGGCCTTGGGTCACTTGCTGTGATCCTGAAAAATTGAGTCGCCCGACTTCGTCCCCAGTGACCTCCCAGCAGAGCCGAACTGGTGTCTGGTGCGTCCGCTTCTGACCCGTGCTGACCGATGCTGACGCCTTGTGTGTTGCAGAGGGGAATTCTCTGGAAGAAAGAGCAGACGGTGATACCGACTATTCGTAGCTTAAACCCGGCTTCTGGGCATTCCTTTGTGCCAGTCAAAGGCACTTATTATTTTTGTCAGATTTCTTAGGCACTGAAGGTGAAACTTCTTGTAATTTTAAAGTTAAAGTGGTTGAAGTGCCTCCAGTTGAATGGATGGAAAACTGAAGGAGTTAATTTTATTTACAAAGGTGTTTATAGCCACCTTATCTGGAACATTGTTAACTCTACTTAACATTGACTATGCTCTGTAGGGGCAGATTTTGGGTGTAAAATAAAAAACTTTACACAGTGATTAACCAGAATAAAGGTAGATGCTGCACTATAGATCAATCCTGCATCCTATGATTGCTCCTTTGGACTTTTTGAATTAGGCTCCTTTCTGGTGGAGCTTTGACTTTGGTTATATCTACTCTACAACTAAGCAAACCTAACTTAGGATGTTCAGAGGTGTGAAAAACACACTCACTGAGCAATGTAAGTTACACCAAGAGAAATACTGGAGTGTTCAGCACTGTTGGCAGGGGAGCTTCTCCCACTGACCTAGCTACTGCCATTTGTGAAAGTGGTTTTATCATGTTGGAAAGTTTTTCTGCTAGCATAGAGCAGCTGCACAAGTCTTGAAGCATCACTGTTGCTTATGTAGACATTACAGCTAAGACCATGGGCTCACCTAAACTTTGTTTTTTATTAGATTTGGTTCTGTGGAACAAAACAAAGTAATCATTGGTGCTCTCTCATACCAAGCACTGAAGGTATCAAAATGAGCGATTACAGATCTGTGAAAGCATTCTCCTTTCTTACTTTAAATAAAATGGTTAACAAATTACTACAGTTGTCAATAATACATTAACACTTCAGTTAAATAAAGGGGCTAGCGCACAGAGGTAGGTGATGTATTTTGGTGTTATTGTTGAGTAACAGAGTGGGTCTTCATTGCACTGTTAACCTGAGTGATTGGCATGTGGGATGGTCTAGTGAGTCAATTAGTGATTTGTTATGGGGATGATCACAACTTACATTCTCATTGCATCTGCACTTTTCAGTGTATATCTGGGATCATATCTCTCATGTGTCTTTGTGCTGAGATGCTCTAGGATTCTTTGCCTGTCAATTGTACAATGTGCAGGATATATATGAGACTTCAGTGACTTCCGTTTTTTTTAATCTTCTTCCTATTGCAAAGCGAGTGTGTTTCAATCAAGCCATGTAAGCTAGTCCAGGCTTAGCACATCCAATCCTATACCATGTGTCTTTTTCCAGATATATGGTAAGCATTCTGGAGCTAAAAAGGTTAACTCTCCTTTGAGACATACCCACAGACATTTGTGGTTTCTCTGTTCAAATTTTGAGGCTTTTATGCAACCATAGCAATTGAAGACTTTTTTTTTTAAGCAAAAGCTGAAATCCTGTTGAACATGATAGTATCTTCAAAAGAGTACTGATAAGGTTTAAAAGCACGTCAGCTGCTTCTGAGCCCTGGAGATAAACTTAATTTATAGTGTTTTGTTTGTAGGTACCATTATGGTAAGTTACGCCTTATTTACACCACTCTGCCATCACAACTATGTCAGAGATCTGAAAGGTATGATCTCTACAGATTCTTATGGCATAGCTATGTTGTAGGGAAGATGAAGCAGCACTGGCATAACTGCTTTTACTGGAACGGAGGTTTTGCCTTTTTTGCTCTATCCACATTAGGAACACTTTTATGGTATAGTATTCCATTGGTTCTATGCTGATAAAGCTTTCCTATTGTGGATATAGCCTTGGCTACAGCAGAGGTCATTTGAAACTTTTTGAATAGTAGCTTTTATGTAATCTTAACAAAGGCCAGAAAGGAACTTTTGATCACCTTCAGTGACTTGTGTAATACAGGACATTCAATTTCACCCAATAATATCTGTAGTATAAATGAAATATTAACCTCACTGAGAACATACATACATGTACACAAGGAGTGTGATTCTGCTACTCTTCTTCTCATTGATCCAGTGAGTTCAATAGAACTACCAAGTGTAAGAAAGGGCTCCAAAGTTTGGCCCTTAATTTTTAAAATCCGAGCATACATCAGTCGCGCAGAAGGTTGCATTATTTTCTTTATAAAAAGTAGTAGTATTCACTCTTAGCTTTTCTGAGTATCTGCAATGGTTGGTTTGTTGTTTTTAATTGAGGATGTGGACATGGTGGTAGATTTTAAAAAAAATGAAATTCTTAACAAACTGGTGAACAAGTGAGGGGAATAGTGTTAATTTTTGTTCTGAAACTGTATATTGTTAAACTACCCAGTAACAGTAACAGGAAACTCCTTTCTCCATATAATGAGTTTAATTGACTGTACTTAAAAATAGTTCCCATGTATACTGGAAATAGTCTCTCCATTAAAACAGGTATGTCTAGAAGTACACCTATGTTGATTGTTGTCCACAGAGATGTTCTGTATTTCTAAAAGGTAACTAGAAAACGAGAATCTTCTTGAAAGGTAAAGTGTAATTGATAATCGGATGTAACTGATTTATAATATGAGAACACTCCTGGGACTGCTCCAATCCTCCTGGGGCAGCCCCTGCCTTAGACACATGCACACTGTCTGCACTGGGCCCTGTCCTGCTTCAGCCTCCACCCATTAACCAGAACTGGTAAGTATCACATGTTAAGGGTGCTGTTCAGGGCTCAACAAACAATGTAATCTACTCGCCTGTGGTGAGTAGATTACACCTCGGAGCCGGCGCAGAGCAATCTGCACATGAGCAGAATGATCTGCGCAGAGCGCAGAACCACACGGCTGCTTGGCGAGCCCTGGTGATGTTTACCAGTTAACCTTTCCTATATCAGTGCTGAATGAGAGAAATAGTTGAGTGTTGTCAGCTGTGGCCTGGTCTACACAAGGGATGTTAAAATATGTTTATTTAAAAGCTGGCTCCCACCTGCCTCCTTCCCCATGCAGAGGCAGTAGTGCAGGAGGCTCTGTGGGAGCTTGTACATGTCGGGAGCCGGCTTGAAAGTCAGCTGCCCATGCACAATGGTTTCCACCCTCCCCAGGCCTGCCCTGCTGCTCAGGCTCATCAGTTAATGGTGTACACAGGTACGTGTTCACATATCTAGTCTATGCTAGGAATTCAAGTGGGTATAGCTATGTCTCCTCCATTGACTTAGATGCAGTAGCTCAGGGAAGTGGATTACCTTTGGTTAAGTAGTGTCTACATTGAAGTGTACTACTGCAGTATCTTAACTATGAGTCTCAAACTCACAGCCTGTGGGCTGTCTATGGGCTGGAGAATATAGCTATCCAGCCCAGGAGGGTGTATCTGAACCTGTCCCCCAAGCTCCGCTCCTTCACTGTTCCCCCTTTTTTTTTTCCAGCAGTGTGACATTGATTCAAATTTTTTTCTGTTACATTATGAGCTTCAAATCCTTTTTTGCACTACCCCTTTTTAAGCAGTTATTTCCCATTTTATGTGTGTGCAACTAATAGCTGTTTCATATGTGAAGCACATTATATTTGTCCTTACTGATTTTCATCCTGTTCACGTCAGACTATTTATCCAGTTTGTCTAGATTTTCAGTTTTAATCCTATGCTCCAAAACACTTTCAATCCCTACCAGTTTCATATCATCCACAAACTTTTTATAAGTGTACTCTTGATGTCATTATGTATCAGGGGTTCCCAAATTTTTTGACAGGGGGACCAGTAAATCCATTCACAAGCTTTTGGAGGACTGGTAACATTAATTTGCATATTTGCATATTCATTAAGCAAATGATGAATATTCAAATACGGTGTTTCTGGTCTTCCAAAAGCCCCCAGTGCCAGCTTTAGCAAAGCTTTTGATATCGTCACCCACAGTGTTCTTGCCAGCAAGTTAAGGGAATATGGATTGGATAAGTGGGCTGTAGGATTAATAGAAAGCTGGTTAGACCAGGGTTTCCCAAACTTTTTACTTTAGGTGGGACCCATTTTTTTTCAGTACTGTTTTTTGCAGCCCAAAAAAATAAACGCATATTAAAAAAAAATGAAAAATGAATAAATTTTCAGTGTTTCACCCGGCTGCATCCTCTGCCCAGCCTGGGCCAGGGCTTGGGAGACCTGGCGCCGCATGGGCATTCCAGGAGGCGGGAGAAGGAGCAGATTGGGATTAGGGTATCTGGCTAAGAGGGAGGGTGCAAGGAGGGGTAGGGTTGCCAGGTGTCCAGTTTTGTACCGGACAGCCCAGTATTTGAGGGTTCTGTCTGGGAAACAAATAGAGAAAATACTGGGCATATAAAATGTCCGGTATTTTCTAATTAGGTAAATTTTATTATTGTTAGGTGTATCAGTCCGTAGCTGCGACCTGCCTGGCTGGTAGATGTGCTCATGCTGCGTGAGTGTAACTACTGAAGGGAGGGTACGGGGAGGGGGGGGGGTGCAA